CACATATGGGAACCAAGTCCCATCCTTCCTACATGATCTTTAAGCAATCATTAATTTAGTGCTTATTTGTTCAATAACCATTGTCTTATCTTTAACACATTCTGTTATGGCTAGTTATGTTGCACTGACACGGAACACGATATGATACTTTGACACATTAATTCTAAAAAATATTATATTTCAACACGTTACAATATGTTTTGATATTAAATAATATTTTTAATATATATAACATGTTTAAGTTGAATTAGAGTTTTGTTTGGTTATATAATTGATTGAGTACAGTTGAACTCAATATATAACAAGACAAAACGAGAAAGCAATCGAGTAATGGAGATAAACAATCTTTCTAATGAAGTTAATAAATTTGACTGGAATTGTAGGAATGTTATTGGGAAAAATAGATTAATAGCACGTCTCCCAACTGATATGCATTTGACAATGTTTGGTAAAATCTTAATGGTAGAAAAGCATCCATCGGGTCAGCAATACCAAGAACTTTAGGAAACACGTAACATGTTACCATGGATGCATATCACATAAGGTAGATTATCTTGGAAAATATATCTTTGAACGGTGTAAATTAAAAAGTAACAAAAAAGAAAATTAATTGAAGCTTGTTGATCCTAATCTCAGAATTCTTTCAGTGAAACCCATGACTACAACTTAAAATCACACACACACACAAATAAATTAACAGCAGAAGTTGAAGAAAAATAAAGACGAAGAACAATAAAAGTTTCAATCATGTGCATCATAATCACAACACTAACCTTGCAAGTTCTAAAGCAAGCATGCCCTCGTTACCCACTTCAAATAGAAGAAAAAGAGCGAACTTATAGTGATTCGGGACCAAGAAAAATAGTATGAGACTGAGGTAAGAGAAAGAGATAAAAAGTTAAGGAGAGAAAATAGAAAAAAGAGAAAAAAATTAATACAGATGTCAATTTTTGACTGGAAAGAGCACCGTGGTCCGAGAGCATATTAAAAAATTTCAAAAAAAAAATGGATGAAAGAGAGAGATAAGAAAGAGAGCAAGAGCAACGCTGCAAACAGAGAGATAAGAGCACTTACCAGTTACCAGTAACGATAGACGGCATAGCAATAACTGTCATCGACAATTGCAAACAGTGAAAAAGGCAGAGCTCAGGAGAAAGAAAGAGAGCAACGCTGCAAACAAAATGGGTCTAGTGAAGTTTTTTTTTTTGTTTTTATTAAATGTTTTTTTATTTTTTTAAATTATAATTTTATTAATATATTTTATTTTTTAAAATTATAATTATAATTCAATTAAATCCATATAACTATTATGATAAAACTATGAAGTTATATTTCCTGATCCCAAATCAAAAAATATAATTTAATATTTATTTTAATTAATCATACAAAATTATAATAAAAATTTTTGTGGATGATATCTATTATATTATACATAACTAATTATAATTAATATCTTCTAACTTATGTTACCTAGAACCTCTTAATATATACTTTAAATAATTAAAGTTGTTGTGGCTAAGCTTTAATTAATTAAATTATATAGATTACTTTTTTTTTGGAGTTACCCAACCCTAATTACCTCTTTGAGGCGAGTTGGCTCCCTCCGGTATCCTCACAAGCTTCGACTCTTTGAGCCGGCTATGGGACTAATCCGGAGTGCGGGGGTCAGTGATGACTAAAGGTTCAGCCCCCTCCCCAAGAATGCATTCAGCGGGAATTGAACACATGTCCAACCCCACTAACTCAGCGCCAAAGATTATATAGATCTCTAAATATTCTTTATTATATTATTGCAATTAATCATAAAGTAATAATAATAAACAATTAACCATTTATATTACTCATCTTAATATTACATGTAAGTATTAATATATGTAATCACGTAATAACAATAAATGATGTGAACATATATATATGATAGAGTTATCAATAGTTAAAATAGTCAATGTGATACTACTATAATGCAGGTTCCGTGTTCAAGTCTAAAACTATTAGCGAATAAAGGTGGATACAGATACAATTGACAGAAGATTTAATTCATATTCTACAAAGACGTGACTTCAAATTTCGCTGGTGCATGTGAAAATTTTATTATGAGTTTTCCCTAATCTAATAGGCTACTAAGATATTAGTATTTAACCTCATTTAAATTTATTTACTTTTACTAAAAAAAAAGCTAAAACTAATAACAGTAGCGCCAATTCAAAAGTTATTCACGCAAATAGTAACAAAATTAAAAAAATTCATGGAACAATAAAGCTCTAAATGTGAATCGCACTGAGATTCAAATAAAGTCAAATGAAGCCATTATGATTGATTTAATGGTGATAAGTTTAGATAGATTATATTAAAGAGTTTATTATATCATTTAACATGACCACAAAAAATTTTCTACATATATAATATTTTGTGGGGCCCGCAGAAAAAAAAAAACTTCGACCCGCAAAATGAATCTCTATAACATAACACAATCACTTTTTCTATAACGTAACTCTTATAAAACCCTATATTAAATTGCATGTTTAATTCTCACTATTGTATAAAAAAAATCATAAAACTAAATCAAACATGAAACTAATTTCATAACAATTCCAAATGAGAATTTTTTGGTCAGCAAAGCACTTTTCACGAAAACCAAGATGTCTTCACGAAAAAATAAAGCAACGAAAATCAAATTTATGTAATGGTAAGGTATTTCACGTACACCGACAAACGTGAACAGTAACAAAAAAATATGATTCACGAAAGTAAGTACAGTAAGATAGGCATGAAAATAAATATACACAATATCGTATCCCTTAGACTTTGAAGCAAATTAGAAGGAAAAGAATTATATAATTGCATTTTACAAAAAAAATTATTGAATTAATGTATTTTTAAATATTTTATTCAATTAATGTAGGTAGTTGTACACACTTGGTAGCATCTGTCATGTGTAAACTTCAATAAGTTGCGCATGTACCACATGATTGTGCACGATTTGCATGTACTATCTATTTGAATTTTGTTAGGTGGCACCATCATGGTCATTCGTAACACCTAGTAACTGATTGGGAATTTGAACTTAATTTAAAAGGAACATAGAAAAAGATTATAATATTTCAGAGAATTAGAAGATAAGATCAGGGAGAGGAAAGAGCGCTAAAAGATTATGACCATTATAATAGAATCGCACGGATCGTCACAATAGTGTTTCGTGACAAAATTCAGTTAATTGCGTACGTATCTAATGCTTAATCAGTTGCGCATGTGTACATATACAATTACTCGGAATTACGCATTAGATACGTGCATAACTAACATTAAATAAAACATTTGAAAATAATATTAATTCAATAATTTTCTTAAAATATAATTATATGAATTTTTTTCCAACTAAAAGGCTGTTAACATTCTTTTAAAACTTGAATATTCAAAATCTTGTTGTTTTTTATTGTGGAAAACACGAAACAGAAAGCAATTAAATAAAGAAAAAATATTTGTCCTTTTAAATGATATAATTTGTTATTTTATTCTCATAAAGAGGTGAAATCTATACTTTTATATTTTTTTGTCAACTCTCTCCTCCTTTATTTATCTCTTTCTTCTACTTAAAATGACACAACTTTACATCTTTTAAAATGATACACATTTTTTTCTTAAATAAAAAAAAGGAAATGCATTGGTTATAACTGATTGGTATTCATATAAAAGTAGGGTTTTATATTTATAATGTTATATGATATGAGTCTTCTTATGTCACACAAACAAAAATTATGTGTGTTAGAAATATATTGTATAATTAGAATTTCCTTGTACCTTCTAATAAGCAATTAGCATATGTGTTTACAAAATCTTTGAGGGGCCTTCGAATAGAATTATATGTAACAAGCTTGGTGCATATGACCTATATGCTCCAGCTTGAGGGGGAGTGTTAGAATTATATTGTATAATTAGGATTTTCTTATTTCTTATATAATTAGGGTTTCCTTATTTCTTTTGTATTAGGTTTGGGCTTAACCCATTAGAGTGTCTATATATTGTAAATGTTTCATTATATCAATACACACAATATTATTTTCAATGTTCCTCTCTTCTCTCTTGTTATTCAACAATGTAGACCTCATATATTAGAAATAGTCATGTGTGAGATTCATATCAACACATAAATCAAATGATAAGTATGAGAATTTTTCATTTCATATTACATGAGAATTATTAAAAAAAGTAAATTAAGGTGGTTGATTCTTGGGACATTAACACATCTGCCACAATTTTCAATACTATTAACCTCGCAACATAAATTTTTTTCCAAAGTGTTCAAAGTTATTGATTATTATAGCGTCTTTTGTTTGATGATGTGACGTGTTTATAGATGTCACAAAAATTGCTAGATAATATAAAGACTTTTATAATTAAGGTGTCAGCCTTTTGTGCAACTTTTCTTACTCATGGCGCAGAGTGAACCAAAAGTCACGAACAATTTGATAAAGACTTTTGTGGTCAAAATTAGTTAGTTTATATTTGATTTTCCATACCTTCGAATTACGCACGTTGTCTTCTCCTTTAGAATATTCAAAAGTCAGAATAGATGTTGTCTAAATAAGTACACAATTGTTCCTGACTAGTGGTTCACTCTCTGCCACGTATCATCAAAGTTGTGCAAAAAAGCTGAAACTTTGAACACAAAAATCTATACAGTATTAAGTGATTTTTGTGACCTCAATAAACACGTGGCCAAAAAACAAAATGAAAAACTATATCAAAGTTCATTCCAAAAATTTTGTTCTATTGCACGGCGAGTTTCACAAAAACTGGAATATATATTTAAGCTACCAATTCCCCTCATTGTTGTTCAAGTTTGATGAGTCTTTACTCTTAAACGCAGGCGAGACCGTGAGAGGCGTAGACATACAGAGTCAGTAGGCAACCAGGTAAGTGCTTGCCATTCCTGTTTAGCTTTGATGCTTATTGGCTTTATAGATAGCTCAAATTTCATGCTGAGTTGAGGTGGTACTTAATTTCTTTTTCAAGAGATTCTACACTTGTGCTATATTCCACCCTCTGCATATGATCCAACAAGCTTTGTGCTCTTTATTTTTCCTATTTTCATAGAGAAACCCATCTAATTTGTGCTACACGTATAGTTATAATGTGTGAGTGACAGTTTAATTTTGTTTTCAATACTTAAACCTTTGATGTATGGTTTTGAGTGAGAACGTGGCCATTTTCAATTCCAACTTAGCTCAAACTGTTTTGAGGTTTCAGTATTTCCTCTATCCTTATTCTTATTATTCTTCCTCTTCTTTTAGATTTTATCTTCTTAACTGTAGGCTCAGTTTTTGTATTTGCACGGAAATGGCTTTTCAAATGGAAAGGGATATTCTCTTCCAAACCTTCTTGTGTTCCTTGCTCAGTATCTTGATGACAAGCCATGCTCTTGTCACTGATATCTACTGTTTAAAATCCATTAAGGATTTCTTGGAAGACCCGTTAAATTCCTTCTCCTCGAGCTGGAACTTGGACAACAACACCGAAGGTTTCATATGTAGATTTGATGGTGTTGAATGCTGGCATCCTGACGAGAATAGAGTACTAAATATCGACCTATCTAACATGGGGCTGAAGGGCCAGTTTCCAAGGGGCCTTCAGAATTGCTCTTCATTAGTAGGTATAAACCTTTCACTCAACGAGCTCTCAGGACCCATCCCATCTGATATATCAAGATTACTCAAATTTTCTACCAGCATTGATCTCTCAAATAACAAATTCAGTGGCGAAATTCCAAAAGCTTTAGCTAACTGCACTTACCTGAATGCTCTTAAACTTGATAACAATATGTTAAGTGGTCAAATCCCACAAGAATTTGGACTGCTCCCCAGGATTAAAACAATCTCTTTTGCTAACAATCATTTGTCAGGGCCAGTGCCTCAGTTATTGGAAGTTTCTGCTGATGTTTATGCTAATAATAGTGGGCTTTGTGGAGGGCCTTTGGAACCCTGCTCTTCCTTGGAAAATTCAACCAAATTCTTTGAATCATTCAAGGATGGCGTTGTTGTTGGTTATGTTTTTTCAGTGACTTGTGTTATTGTTGTTTGTATATCCTACTCCTACTGTGCACCTTGCGACCAACTGAAGAAGAAAAAAAAAAACCACCCAAACAAAGCTAAAGAACTGAGCAAATATATTTGTTCCATCACAAGGAGGAAGATACAAAGGGTAGCTAATCAGATGCACGAATTGCTACCTCTGCAGTTGGTAGAGAAAGGAAGCAAAGAGGTACTCTCTTCTTCTCTCTTTCTGGACAAACCCTGATTTGAAATATCTTTAGTATTATTAACTTCATGACTTAAGTTTAGAAATATAATATATAAAATTATTAATGTAACTTTCATATAATTACTTAAGTTTTTGGGTTGAAATTGTTCTTTAGATAAAAATTTCAGCACCAACTCTACAATTTTTAAAATACTCTTGGTGTGATGGATAAATGAATTATCCATGTTTAAATCCCTACAAAGACTCTTGATATCATTGTCCATGCTTCAATTTATAAGGCTTTTGGCATAAGGGGTGTGCTAATTAAGATGTAAAAAAAAAAAAAAAAAGCTTCCCGTTAAACCCGACTAGCGAGTGTAGGGAGGAAGTAATCCTTGTACACAGCCTTACTCTTGCATAATTGCAAAGAGGTTGTTTAAAAGAAATTTTGTTCAGTGTGGGGTGTGCTAAGATGTAATAGATGAAATTAATATGTACCATTTACTCAATAACTATTGGCTTGAAATGATTTTTTATACTTAATATTCTCAAATAGTTCCAAATAATAAGATTTTGATACAAATCATATAGCAAAGATTGATAGTTGTGAGTTGCATCCACAGATCTCTGTCCTATTGGAAAGTTTGACTTCCACAATAAGGTTCGAAGAACTCCATGATGCAACTGACTGCTTTGCTATGGACAATGCCATTGGGGTGGGGAAGATGGGAATAATGTACAAGGGAAGGTTACCTAATGGTCAGTTCTTAGCTGTCAAGAGACTATTATTAGACTCTCAACTGTTCAATAGGCAGTTCGTTTCAGAAATAATGATTCAGGGTAAGTACAGACACAGAAATATAATGCCCCTGCTTGGCTTCTGCATGGAAAGAAACGAAAAGATTTTGGTATACCAGTACATGTCAAATGGAAGGCTTTCCAAATGGTTGCATCCTTTAGAAAGTGAAGTCATGAGATTGAAATGGCCTGAGAGGGTCAACATTGCACTTGGGATAGCAAGAGGATTATCATGGCTCCATCATAGCTGCAATTTGCAAATAGTGCATCTTAATATATGTTCCGAGTGTATATTACTAGATGATAATCTTGAACCCAAAATATCCAATTTTGGAGAGGCCAAATTTATGAATCCCAACACTGAAGATAATTTGGGCATGATGTTCAAAGTAAATGATGGGAAGAAGGATGTTTATGACTTTGGAAGTGTACTTTTTGAACTGATTACAGGAAAAACATATAATGAACTGTCCCGTTCATTCAGCACTACTAACCTTTGTGGTAATCCTTCAAATTTTTATAATGCAATTGATAAATCTCTGGCTGGGGAAGGGTTTGTAAATGAAGTGTGCACTCTCTTTAAAGTTGCTTGTGAGTGTGTTCGGCCTTTACCAGATCAAAGGCCAACAGTGCTTGAAGTTTACAATAATATGAGCAATATATGGAAGGGAAGACATGGATTAAATGATGAGTTTGACACACCATGTGGATCAGAAATTGTTTGTGTTACTAGTATAGATGAAATTGTTGAGTTATAAAAAATTAGACAAGATTTTGCATACATAGGCTTTGCTACATGGCCACATTAGGAAAAAAAATAATGTTACTTGTATCGTTGTCATTACTATAGTGATGAATGTATTGGTAAATGAAAGAGACATGCCTTTGTTTAGTTTTTTTTTTTTTTCTTTGAAATCAAATTAGAAATCTTTTGTCGATAACTGCTCTCCGGTTTAAATGTTATGTTCAAAATTTTTGTCATTTAAAGCAAATTAGGAAACACATTTTCCTCTATTGTAATTCGGTGATTAATTTGCATTTCTCAAATATCGAAACAAAGGAGAAGACAACAAGCATAATTCCAAGGAATGTAAAATCAAATATAAACTAATTAATTTTGTTTAGGGTGTGTTGGGTTTATTTTATCGGGGGGAGGGGGGGTGTGTGTGGAAGTCAATCCAAATCAAGCTATATCAATAAAGAAATGTTGAACGAAATAACTGGGTTATTATTATTATTTTTGAATAAGTGTGAATACCTTGGGGCATTTTAGTTATTTTATTTCGGCAAAAATGAAAAAAATAAATAATTGAAAAATTTCAAAAAATTGATTGAAAGAAAAAAATCCAAGGCCCAATAATTTTTTTGTCTTAACCCAAAGCCTTATTTATATTTTTATTTGAGCACTACGTGAGAATTAACCTCATCAAGCATTACCTTTTTATATTTTTTATTTCAAACAAGAGTAAACTAAATATTTTTGGGTTGTTATTAATTTGTATAACTAATTTATGATAACATCATTATAAGATGGGCGTATTAGGGATGTTCTGAGATTTAGTGTTCACCTGACTCCTAACCTATGTCTTATTTCAAATACCATTTTTTAAATGGGTTTTTTCCGATCATTTTCCCTTCCTAATCAAACATCGGTGGCAATTACATTTTTCTTAAAAAATTTCTTTACCTGGTCGCAACTTTGGTCGTGAGTCGTGACACTTAGTGGAATAGTTAAAAAGTCAAGCTTGTAAGTTGGGCTTTTTAAGAACCAGTTTTTCACTAAGTGGCATTGAAAAATTTGTTTGTGGTTAAAAGAAATAAAATAAATCTTCCTAAGACTGCGTTATTGGGCAAAAGTCTCTATTAAAGAGGTCATATTGGGCTTGAGTTATTTTCTTTTCTCTCTTTCCTTTTTTATTGGGCTTGCATTGAATATTCAACAATATTAGATGTTGAGCTTTGAATTGGATATCACTTCATTTCAGTATCTCTTTATGGGAATGCAAACCTTTAACGTCATCATCATCATCTCTTAATGGTAATAATTAAAGGAAAATCATACTCTTATGTTACATAAGATTCATCTTTTATGTTACACTCACATAAAAAGGCGTGTCTTTTTTTTTTTTTTTTTAAAAAAATTGGTGAGCCCCACTTTATTTATCTCACAACATAAGATAACTTCTCTCATACTACATGAGAGAAGTAAAACCCATGATTAAAATATAAACATAAAACATCAAAGTCCGTATGATATTGTAAGAATGATGTTATACTCGTTTTTTTTTTCTTTCTCGTTTTTACTTTACACTGTATACAACTTTAAATTGCAAAGCTTTTCAATTAGATATAAATATTTTTGGGTTTGATCATTGATCAATTATTAAAAAATATAAACCGCTTTGTTATTTTACGAAAATCTTTTCAAAGAATCTTTATGCATTTATCATTTCTAAATGATCTCCGTAGCGTATATGTAAGTTTCATGGTACGATTTACTCATGCCTTTATTGGCTTCAAATATAAAATCCTTTCTCTGTTTTGATAGAGGAGAAAAAAAAATTACCCTTCAATTACTGAGAATATAGTGAGAAAGTGAATTTGGTAGAAAAGTTAAAAAAAATATTTAATAAGCCAAAATATTACTGAAAAAATTGATGTAAGTTAAAAAAAATTTCATTGCCACTTTTTGGTTTCCCATGCAAAATCAGAATACCATCCTCTGATTGGTATTCTGAAGTGGATAAATTCTTGTAATTTTACACATGATATCAGATTCCTATGCAAATTTTTTACAAACTCCTAAAAAATATGGTCTTTTTTAAATCTCATGTGAACTTTCCTAAGAAAAAAATTAAAACTCTAACTTCTTAAAGTGTTTAGGCATGTGCAAATCCATTAAGACGAGGAATGCGATACCATTGAACCATTACTCCTTTTATATAAAGTTGATACTTAATAATCAAGTCACATATGCCAAATTTAATAATCAGTTGATAATCAAGTCATATATGCTTTGTTGTAGAGTTAGGAACATGTTATTCATTTTAACTAATTCAACCAAGTGATTCCAATACGCGGCCAAAATCAACCCGGTTCGGAGGACCATCACCAATGCGATAAGTTAGGCCAATCACACCAAGTGAATCTAACACCATGTTACAACCCAAATTTTGGAATTGACCCAATCACACACACACACACGATCGCAAATTGAAAAGAGAAAATGAAGAGAAATTGACACTATGATTTACCCAATTCACCCAATGTAGCTACGTTCGGCTTGTCTGTACCATATTTGCCTCACTGATAGTTGTTACAAGTCACTAAATTTACAAGGAGAATATAAATATGATTTAGAAATCCTAATTGGCTTTCTGTTGACCTCGACAACAAGGGTCCTCATCTGAATGCGAAGTATAAGTCATACTCAATATTCTCTCCCTTGGTTACTGCTTCTCATGTTTCTTCAGTCCCAATGCAGCTGTACACCATTCAAACTTCTCTGAATTCACCACCTTAATAAAAAAATTCAGCATTGTCCACCTTTGTGTTAACCTTCTCTAGCAATTAATACAACCTTGTCTTCTATCTTCTCTTTGATGAAATGACATTGTATGCTGATGTTCTTGGTCGTCGCATGGAAACTTGGGTTCTTAGCCAAGAAAATGGCACTTTGACTATCACCCTAACGGTCACCTCTCCTTGTGCAAAGCCAAGCTTTTTGCCCAACCTGCGCAACCAGATAACCTCCTTGACAGCATGTGTCAAGGCCATGTACTCTGCCTCTGTAGTATATAAAGAATTTATGCTCTGCCTCTTACCCATCCAACTTATAGCTCCGTCGAATGAGGAAACAACATATCCACTTGTAGACCTTCTACTATCAATATCATCTCCCAAATCAGAATTCACAAAGCACCTCGGCTCTAGTAATGTTTGCCCCCTTGAGCCCTTCACACCTTCATAGCATAACCCTAGGTCAGATGTGCCACGAAGATAGCGTAACATACACTTCACTACCGTCGAATGCTCCTTTCTTAGCTTGAACATATATCTACTCAATACTCTCACTTCTTGAGCAATATCAGGGCGAGTACAAATCATGGCTTACATTAAACTCCCAACTACACTAGCATGAGGGACTGATGCCATCTCCTATTATTCTTCTTCTTTAGTCTTGGGACACTGGTCAACTAATAACTTGGAACCGGTAGACATGGGAGACAACATTAGTTTGCAATCAATCATTTTGAATTTCTTCAGAACATCCTCTATATACTTTTGTTGACTCAACTATAACCTTCCTTTGTCATGCTCCCTCTTGATCTGTATCCCCAAGATCACATTTACAGCACCTAGTCTTTCATTTCAAACTGCTTCGCCAGCAATCCTTTGACCATGCTAATTATCTTAAAAATATTCCCAACAAGTAGCATATTGTCAACATACAAAGTTAGAATAACAAATTCACCTTCTAACCTTTTCACATAGACACAATGATCAACATCACAACGATCAAAGCCAAGCTTCACCACATAAGTGTCAAACTTCAGGTACCATATCCCGGGGGATTGCTTTAGGCTATACAGAGATTTATTTAGCTTGCAAACTAGGTCATATTTTCCTCTTACAACAAACCCCTATGATTGCTTCATGAAAATAACCTCCTCCAAATCACTTTGAAGGAACACAATCTTCACATCCAACTGCTCCACCTTTAGTTTATATGCAGCTGCTACCAAATAAAACAAGCCTTACGGAATTTAACTTTGCAACAGGTGAAAACACCTCACCATAATCAACCCCTTCTGTCTATGAATATCCATTTGCAACAATCGGGCTTTGTAATGCTCTACTTCCCCATTAGCACCAACACTTTTCTTGAACACCTACTTGCAACCAATTGCTTTTTCGTCTGCAGGTAGCTTCACCCAACTCCAAGTTTGATTTTTCATCAGTGACTTCATCTCATCTTTCAGGCTTCGTCCCACTATTTGGCATCCTCCGAGTTCCTAGCTTGTTTTAAAGTGCTTGGATCATCACCTGTAATACTTAGGGCACAACTGTCGTCACTAGTACAAAGGGTATAATTATCGGTGTATACCTCTCAGATGGTCTTTTTTCCCTTGTGGACCTCCTCAACACTGGTGCTTCAACTCTAGCCTCGGTTTCAGAATCTTCATCTTCTACCAGGTTATATTCAGCAACTTCAGAATCTAAATTCTTAACTCCAACCTGTGAGTTTACTGCATCCTTTTTCAAACCTACATTTAACTCCACCGTTTGTGATTCTTTAGGAGCTTCCGGAAAAATAAGATTCGGCTTAGATTCCCTAAACACAACATCTCTGCTGTAAGTTACACTTTTAGTATTCAGATTCCACAATTTGTACCCCTTGACGCCATCCTTGTACCCAATAAAGATGCACTTCTCTATTTTACTATCAAACTTGCTTCTTTTCTCCTTGGGTACATGTGCATGTGCTTCACAGCTAAAAACTCTGACATGAGATATTTCTAGCCTCTTCCCAAATAGTGTTTCATTTGGAGTCTTCTCTTTCAAGACCGATGTAGGAGACCTGTTCTTCAAATAGCAAGCAGTAGCCATAGCCTCCGCCCAAAACTCAGTTGTCAAGCCTGCACCGCTCAGCATACTCCATGTTTTTTTCCATTAGAGACTGATTCAACCTCTCTGTCGCCTTATTCTGTTGAGATGAGTAGGGCGTAGTTTTTTGTCTTGCAATCCAACTGCTTGCACAAAACTGATCAAACTTTGCTAAATAGAACTCTCCTCCATTGTCAGTTCTCAGCACCTTAATTTTTCTGTCAAACTGATTTTCCACCGAGGCCTTG